CTCAAAAGTCAGCAAATGTCTGCATTGTCAAATGCGAAGGCTGTCAATTTGGAGAAGAAAGTAGTAAAGGTGTCTGTGCAAGCTGGATCAAGAAAGAAAATGTCGTAGGGGTGCTCCCAAGGCCATACAGAGAAGGAGATAAACGCAAATTCCCAATAAACGTAGATATGGTTTCTGGGGCAAGAAAAAAGAAAAGAATAAGTAGTATAGGTTCAAAAGAACAAATTCTTAGTAATATTAGCTTAGTCAAGTTTGAGTTTAATCAGGGTTCGGATCCGAAGTTTGCAAACTAGTTTGAGTTCAAATATACATGTGTATATTTTTAGTGCTAAACAAGTTTACTTAGAGCATGAACTTAGTATCAATTGGTAAAATATTGAGAATCATAATATTTTATATAATTATATTAATAAAAATACTAAAAAATGCTATTATTCTTAAAGTTTACTAATTGATTCTAATTTTATACTCTAAGTAATCTTGTTCAGTATATAAAATGCATTATACTAGTATATAAAATTTTATATTTTGTAAAAATTTAAGAGAGGATGATTAATTTTAGATTTTTTTTGATCAAATATCAAAATTAAGTATTTTCTCTTAAATTTTTAAGAAATATAAAATTTTATATGCTGACATAATATATTTTTGTGTGCTAAGCAAGTTTACTTAGAGCATAAAGGTAGAATCAATTAGTAAAGATTTGAGAATCATAGTATTTTTATTAATATAATCATATAAAATGTTATTATTCTTATATTTTACTAATTGATTTTAGTTTAATGCTCTAAGTACACTAGTTTAGCATACAAAAATACATTATATCAGCATATTTAAATATATATTTTCTAAAAATTTAAAAGAAGAAGCTTAATTTTAGATTTTTTAATTAAAAATCCTAAATTAACATCTTCTTTTAAATTTTAAGAAATATAAAATTAGATATACTAGCTTAATATATATTTTAATACTAAATAAGTTTATTTAGAGTATAAAATTCAAATTAATTAGTAAAACTCTGAGAATCATGATATTTTTTAGTATTTTTATTAATAAACTTAAATAAAATATTCTATTCTTAATATTTTACTAATTGGTTTTGACTTAATGTTTTAAGTAAACTAGTTCAGCATAAAAAATATATTCTATTAGCATATTTAAATTTATATTTCCTAAAAATTTAAGAGAAAATGCTTAATTTTGGATTTTTTAATCAAAATCTAAAATTAAGCATCTTCTTCTAAAGTTTTGAGAAATATAAATTTAAATATGCCAATATGGTATTTTTAGTGCTAAATAAGTTTACTTAGAGTATAAAATTAGAATCAATTAGTAAAACTCTGAGAATCATAGCATTTTTTAGTATTTTTATTAATAAACTCATATATTTTTTTTTTTTTTTTATTCTTTGACGAGTCCGCTAGATACTTGCGAGTGAACAGAAGAATACTATGCTAAAATAAA